TTTTTCTAATATTGAAATTGGTAGTTGGATGAGATATTGTTATGACAAAACCCTAAAACATAGCAGTGGCTTAACCACCAGGTGGTAAGCAGAGAACAAACTAATATTAGAGATTGGAAACATAAAGACCAATGCTATGCACGGTAAAATATCTGCTAAAACTATCATCTGTGACAATCTGAAAGGCAGACAAAGTATCATTAAATCTGTCATTTTAGAAGAAAAGTTTGGAAAATAGAATGGTAGTAGTGTGAGTTCTTGTTACTAGCTACATTTTAGCAAGGTAACAATTGGCTGGTTTGCAAGAAGAAATGAAAAGGAATAAAGAGATTGCAGAAATGTGGAACACTGAAAGACTGGATAAGCTGATGGATTTGGGCCCAAATAATAAGACATAAGATTGAAAAGGCTTTTTAATGACAAAAGCCCATTAAGATTCTACCCTTCCTCAAAAACAAACCCCCCCTAAACCTATTAAAAATGGGCAAAGGACTTGAATAGATTTTCTCCAAAGAAGATACACAAATGGCCAACAAGCACTTGAAAAGATGCTCAACATCATTAGTAATCAAAGAAATGCAAATCAAAATAAGGATACCACTTCATACCTGGCAGCATGGCTGTAATTTAAAAAAAATGAAAAATTACAAGTGTTGAAGAAGATGTGGAGAAATTGGAACCCTCATATCACTGATGGGAATGTAAAATGGTTCAACTACTGTGGAAAATAGTTGGGAAGTTCCTTAAAACTATCAAAAAGTTAAAATAAAATTACCATATGACCCAGCATTTCCATTTATGTACGTACATAAAAAGAATTGAAAACAAGTATTCAAACAAAAACTTGTAAATGAATGTTCATAGCAGCATTATTCACAGTAGCCAAAAGGCAGAAACAACCGAAATATCCATCAGCTGATGAATGGATAAACAAGTTGTGGTATATACATACAATAGAATATTATTCAGCTAAAAAGGAATGAAGTACTGATTCATGCTTACAACATGGATCATCCTCAAAAACATCATGCTAAGTGAAAGAAGCCAGACACAAAAGATCACAGATTATGTTATTCTATTTATATGAAATATTCAGAATTGATAAAGCCATAGAGACAAAGTAAGTTATTGGTTGCCAGGGACTGGGGAGTAATTGCTTAATGGGTATGAAGTTTCTTTTTGGGGTGATGAAAAGGTTTTGGAACTAGATAGAGGCGATGAGTGTACAATACTGTGAATGTACTAAATGCCACTAAAATGTATACTTTAAAATGTTAATTTTATGTTATGTGGATTTTACCTCAATTGAAAAAAAAAGATTCTGCCCTGCATTAGAGATCAGATTAGGGGTATAAACTTCCTATCCAACCAAGCCTAATGGTCTCAAAGTAGTTGCCTTTAACATGAGAGGAAGGCATGAGCAAGGAAGCAAAGAAATAACCAGGCTTCAGAAATACGTCTGGAAAAGAACCTCACATGTATCTACAAGCACTTGGAAATGATAAGAAGCAATGAGATTAGAATCAACTAAGTTTTGAATGGAATTATAAATAAATCAAAAACTGATCTTTTCAAAAGACACACCCCTCCAAAAAAAAAAAAAAAGCTTGGAGGTGGTTGCCAGAGGGGAGAGGGGTAGGCAGACAGACAAAATAGGTGAAGGGGATTAAGAGGTACAAATTTCCAGCTATAAAATAAGTCACAGAGATGTAATGTACATATAGGGAACATAGTCAATAATATTGTAACAACTTTGTATGGTGACAGGATGGTAAGTGGTCTTATTGTGGTGAGCATTTAATAATATAAAATAATATTGAATCACTGTGTTGTACACTTGAAACTAATATAATATTGTATGTTAATTATAACTCCCATAAAAAATTAAGAGAGGTTAGGAATGAAAAAATAAAACTAACCACAGGCACAGGACAGACTGTAAAATTACAGGAGAATACAACTGCACATGGCATATCACATATAGTTTTTATACATTGCTGGACTGAGTCTTTTGAGGCAACAACGATAAACGTATAACATATTGAATTCAACAACACATACAAACATGTAATGTGCAATTCATATTTACAGGGTAAAGAAGAAAAATCATTAACTCAATGTGAAAAAGGCATTTGATAAAATGCAACCTCCTTTCATGATAAAATTTCTTAGCAAGTGAGGAATAGAAAGAAACGTTCATAGCTTGTTAAAAGATATCTATCAAAATTTGAATGTAAATTCAATACTTAGCTGAAGCATTAGAAATTACTCATTTTTCCATCAGAAACAAAACAAGTATTTCAGACATCAACATTTCTCTTCAACATTTTTCTGGAGCTCCTAGCTAATGTAGTAAGACAAGCCTAAATAAATAAATGAACAAACAAACAAATAAATGAATAAATAAATAAGATACATTGGAAAGGATAAAAAAAAATCCAGTCCTTGTTTACATATGATAGAATTTCTACGTAGAAAATGCAAATAAATCCATAAACAAAAAATATTACCATAAAAGAGTTCAGCAAGACTTGGGATACAAAATCAATATGCAAAATTGACTGTGTTCCTAGTAATCAAAAAAATTTTTTTGAAAATGTAGTTTAAAAAATGTCCTTTACAATAGCAACAAAATGGTAAGATATCAAGAAATAAATCTCACAAGAGTTGTACAAGACCTTTATGGGAAAAATTATAAAACGCTATTGAAAGATTTTTGAAAGAGACTTAGAAAAATGAAGAGAGGTGGGAAAATTGTATTTTAAATAAAATGTTCTCCCCATATTAACGTGATTCCACCTAAAAGCCTGATAACCTTTTTTGTGTGTGTGTAACTTGAGATGTAGATTCTAAAATTCCCTGAAAGAGAAAGAAGCAAGCCTTGCCAGCATAATTTCCAAAAAGTATAAAGTAGATGAACTGGCCCTGTAAGATATTAAGGCTTCTCATAAGACCACAGTAACTAAAATGGTGTTTTAATGTTAAAATTGGGGGAGAATATAGCTCAAGTGGCAGAGTGCATGCTTAGCATGCATGAGATTCAGGGTTCAAACCCCTGTACCTCCTCCAAAAATAAATAAATAAACCTAATTACCTCCCCCACCAAAAATGTTTTTTTAATGTTTAAGTGGTCCAAAAACATAGAAATAGACCAGTAGAATATAATACATAAAAATCGAAAAAGATAAAAACTGTTTACATACGAAAACATTGCATGTGACAAGGTTGGCATTACAAATCAGATGGGAAAGGCTGAGCTATTCAATAAATGATTATTTGTTTTATAGCACAGGAAACTATTCAATATCTCGTAACCTATAATAAAAAGAACATGAAAAGAAATATATATATATGTATATGTATGACTGAAACATGCTGTATATGGGAAATTGACACAATACTGTAACTGACTATTCTTCAATTGAAAAATGGTTGTTTAGGGTACTGGTTATTTATACAGAAAATAATAAAATTTGATTCTGACCTACCTCATAATTTATGCAAAAATAAAATTTCAGATGTTTTAAAGATCCATGTTTAAGAAGCAGAATTAAAAACTTTTGAGACAATGTAAGAGTATGTTTATAACCTGGGGAAAGGAAGGCATTCTTAAACAAGACACAGAAAGCGTAACTATGAAGAACAAGACTAATATATTTGCCTACATGAAAGTTAGACTTTAGTCCTAACAGGACTACACACAAAGTTAAAATCAAGCCACATGTTGGGAGAATATATTTACACTTTACATAACTATTAGGATGAAGAATTATATATTCATTCTTTAATAGTTATAAAATTAGTATTATATACATATAACTACAAAGTATTTAAAAAGGTAGGCAGCCCATTAGCAAAATGGGCAAAGGATGTCAATAGACAATTCACAAAAGAAAATCTAATGGTTAATAAACACAAAAATCGCTCACTGTCATTCAAAATTAGGGAAATGCAAATTAAGACAATAATTATTTTTTTTCCCCTACAAAACTGTTAAAAATTATAATCTCATAATCCCAAGTATTGGCAAGGTGCTATGGAGCAACAGGACCTCACATACGATACTGATGGAAGTATAAATGGGCACAACAGTTGGGAAAGCAATTTTGAAATATTTGTTAATTTAAAGGTGCACATATTTTAAGATCCAGCAATTCCATTTCTATGTATATATTGTAGAATGAGGGTTCCAAAATGGGATTAAGCATCCCAGGAGGTTGTGTAAAATGATTCACTGGAAAACAGAAACATAATATTAGAACCTCTATTTGTTCATCTTAATCTACAAAACAAGAAGGAGGTGGGTTGGAGGTTACAGCTCACGTGGTAGAGCGCATGCTTAGCATGCACAAGGCCCTGGGTTCAATATCCAGTACCTACATTAAAAACAAAAAAAGGAGGAAATGAAAATATTTACTGTTTAACATATGGATAGGCACTGACATCTTCCCTAGGTGTTATATAAGATGGTACAGCATGAAAGTTAAGGTGTTTTGAGGGAAGAGAGGAAATTCCACAGTGGAGAGCGGACCACAGCATACTCCTTTACCCACTCGCTTGTAGGGTATTCCAGTTCCTACAATTTACATGCATCTGGGTAAATGAATGTATGAGTATTAGTACTTAGTTTTCACTAAACTAAAAAGTAGACGTGTGGCTTAATTATACTAATAAGGCAAATATAAACAAGAAAATAGCAACGAGGATATATCTCTGCTTCTAGTTTGAATACTCCATCTGCCATATTTAGAGATTTTAAAAAATAGTCATTTGTAATAAGATCTGACTTTTAATCACATTGCTAGCATTAAAAAATGTTATCAATATTTTTCTTAATCAGGGAAATAGTTTTAATTTTGTTAAGAAAACAAATTAATATTTTATTTCATCTTTGTCTCATTCTTTTAATTTCTATTTTTCTGTATGTTTTATAATATATAACATTATTATAGAAGAACATATATACCTTATATATAATTTATATCTATATATTTAAATGCAGTCTCAAGAATATTTTACAAATAAGTATGCATGATCAAGAAACCCTATAGACAATTGTCTTAAAAACATTTTTGCAAATGTGTACCAAAAGTTCAATGTAGTATTGTTCCTTAAAAAGAAAAAGTTGGAATCTACATTAACGTTTTATTAAAAGAGGAAAGGAAAGGATAAGCACACTGTATTTCTTAAAATGGTAATGTTATGCTGTCAGAAGTTAAACTGATAAATTAGAGCTAAGTGTATCAAAATGAACACCTCTCAAAAACATAGGTAGAACTGAAAACTCAGGTTGCAGAAGGGTACAATCATTATAATGTCATAAATACAAAGTTTAGAAATGCAAAACAATACTATAGACACACACACAGATAGTAGATCTTCAAGAGATTTTGTTGAATTAACCAATGAGTAAAAGGTGCAAGGATAGCAAAGATAAGAGGGAAAAACTCAGCCTGTGTAATGAATGAGGAGATGACTCTTGAGCTGGGTTTTGATGGATGAATAGAAGTTTTCCAAGGCAAGGAAAAAGAGGGAACAGTATATTTAAAGGTGTGAAATCATGCAATGTGTACTTTGGAGAATTACAAATAGTCTGGTATTTTTTGAGACTTATAAACTACAGGACCATGACCTCTGGATGACAATATAGTCAGAAGAAAGCTCACTAAGTTAGAGACGTTGAACCGTACCCTGGTGTCCGACAAAGGTGCACCACTGGAGGGTTTTAAAAAGGCTATAGATAATATCCATACTTTCATTTTAAAAGAATATTTATAGTGTCAGTGTGGAGGATGACTGGAGTAGAATAGAACTAAAAGGCGGGAGAACAATTAAATCTGGGAATTACCAGAATCAGGCAAGAGATAACTGATCTTGGAGTGAGACAGTGAGTGGCAATGGATGAGCAGAAGGTGGATTTAAGAGATTTAGCCATTCTGTGGAATACTATTTAGCAATGAAAATGAATAAAATATTAACACAGAACAACATGGATATTATAAACATTATGTTAAGTAAAAGAAGTCAAACACAAAAGACTATGTATTTTATGATTCTATTTATACAATGCTCCAGAAGAGGCAAGACTATAGTAACTGAAAGCAGATCAGTGGTTGGTTGGGGTCAGAGGTAGGGTTAAGTCAACTATAAAGGAGGGATGAGGAAGATTTTAGGATGGAAGAGCTGGTCTACAACTTGATTGTGGTCACACAATTGTACACAATTACCACAAGCCATTAAACTCCACTTAAGGTGGGTGAATATTATATGTAAATAATGCTTTGGTAAGTTGTTTTTAAAGAAGTAAAAATGAGCCTAAGAACAAAAAAGATTTAGGAAGGTGAATTAATAGAACTTGATGAGTAAAAAGTATGTGTAGACTTTGCTTTACCTGGTGTCTGTGTTTCTAGAAACTATCTGCAAAAATGAAATTTTAAATGCTCAGAGGAAGCTTTCAACCTTTAGTGATTGTTTTAAAACTATTTTTTAATACAGAATTTCAAACACATACAGAAGTTAACAGGTGGCATAATGAGCCCCTATATTCTCAACATCCAGTTTTAACCATTGTTATATTATGGCCAATTTTATTTCATTTATACCCCATTCTACTCCCCAACTCCTGAACTATTCTGAAGCAAAATTCAGATGTTACATAATTTCATTCATAAATATTTTAGTATATATCTCTAATTAGTAATGACTCTTTTCAAAACATAACCACAATGCCATAGTGGTTTCACTGGTGTATGCAGCTATCAAAATTCATCAAATTGTACATTCGAAATATGTTCAGTTTGCTGTACAGGAAACATACCACAATGAAGGTGTTTTAAAAAAAACATAACCACAATGCCATTATCACACCTAAAAATTAATAATATTCCTTAATATCATCTAGCATCCAGCCAGAGTGCAAATATCTAGTTGTCTCATGAAGCTGTGAAATTTCACTTTTATAGTTTGTTTGAATCAAAATCCAAGTAAGGACCACACACTGCAATTGATAATACCTTCTAAGTCTTTTTTTGGGTAAGTTTCCTTCTCCTTTTTTCCCTTGCAATTTATTTGTTGACTAACCTCTGTGTTTCTTAATGTAAGAAATCCTCCTTTTACACAAATAACCATCTGTTACTTTAATGGGTTTTAAAATTTGGATTGTTTTATAATTATTCTTTTAATACTTCAGTTGCATTTCAATAATTTTTTTCATGAAGCCATAGCTTGGTGACATACGATTCTCTCACTTACTGTCCCAGGTGTATTTTTGCTTTGGGCAGTTTGTCTCAAGGGTAGTGAGCCTGTGCTTTCGAGCAGTATTTAGGTATCAAGAGAGCTCTGTAACACTCACAGTTGTTTGCAGATTAGCTGTCTTATCAGAGAAGATATTCAATCTTTCCTCGTTTTCCAAAATTTTATCAATATTTTGGGTCAGAACATTTTTTACATCAGTCACTTGACTCCTCAGTGTGGACATCGAGCTGTCATCTTGATTTTTATTGTATTTCATCTATATAGAAGTGAAATATAATATAAATTTTATTTTCTATAAGTGAAATCTGTTATGATACACTGTATAAATTAGAACAAAGGTGTCAAAGGCACGTCTCACGTGCATTTCAGCATAAGGAATCAACTAAGCCTCAAATTGTCTCACCTTAATCTTGCAGGAAAAATGGAGGGTGGCGGGAGCAGGGCTGTATCAGTGTATTCAATCAGCAGTGGAAGCTTCTTTTTAAGTTTAAACTTTTTGTTTGTTTATTAGTAGAGACTTTTAAAAAAGAGCAGTTTTAGGTTCACAGTAAAATTGAGTGAAAAGTACGGATACTCCTTATCCCTGACACATGCACAGCCTTCCTCACCATCAACATCCTGCACTTGACTGGTACATTTGTCACAATGGGTGACCCCACATTGATGCATCGTTATCATACAAAGCCCATAGTTTACATTAGTGTTCACTGTTAATACTGTAAATTCAACGGATTTGGACAAATGTATAATGACATGTATTCGTTTTTACAGCATCATACAGAACAGCTTCATTGCCCTTAAAATCCTTTGTGCTCCACCTAATCATGCTTCCCTTTTCCCTAAGCCCTGGCGACAACTGGTCTTTTTACTGTCTCCATAGTGTTGCCTTTTCCAGAATACCACATAGTTAGAATCATACAATGTGTAGCATTTTCATATTGGCTTCTCTCACTTAGTAATATGAACTTAAGATTCCTTCATGTCTTTTCATGGCTTAATAGCTCATTTTTTTTAGGGTTGAATAATAGTCCATGGTTTGGATGTACTGCAGTTTATTTATCCTATGGAAAGACATCTTGGTTGCTTCCATGTTTTGGCAATTATGAATAAATCTTCTCTAACATCCATATACAGGTTTTTGTGTGGATGTAAGTTTCAATTCCTTTATGTAAATACCAAGGAGCATAATTGCTGGATCATATGGTAAGAGTATGTTAGTTTTGTAAGAAACTGCCAAATTGTCTTCCAATGTGACTGTACCATTTTGCATTCCCACCTGCAGTGAATAAGAGTTTCTACTGCTCCACATCCTTGCCAGCATTTGGTGTTGTGAGTGTTTTGAATTTTGGCCATTCTAATAGGTGTGTGAGGGGTATCTCATTGTTACTTTAATTTGCAATTCCCTAATGACATATGATGTTGAGCATCTTTTCATATGCTTATTTGATATCTGTATATCTTCTTTGGTGAGGTATCTATTCAAATCTTTGACCTATGTTTCAATCAGGTTGTTTATTTTCTTATTGTTGAGTTTTAAGTGTTCTTTGTATATTCTGGATTATAGTTCTTTATCACATTTCTCTTTTGCAAACATTTTCTCCCAGTCTGTGGCTTGTCTTCTCATTCTTGTGACAGTTTTTTGATCCAATTTGACAATTTCTGTCTTTTAATTGGTGTATTTAGACTGCTAACTTTTAAAGTGATTATTGATATGGTTGGATTAATATCTTCCATATTTGTTACTGTTTTCTATTCATTGCTCTTGTTCTTTGTTCCTATTTTTGTCTTCCACTCAATCTATATGAAAAATGATCTCTAAGATATAGTGTTATATTAAAAAGGTAAGCTGCAGCTGCAGAACAGTATTAAATAATAACTTATTAAGCACTTAGTATGTTCCAGGCACTGTTTTAAGCACTTCACACATGCTAGTTCATTTAATTCCCAAACCACTATATAAAGTAGTACTCCTACTGTCTCTTATTTTCTAAATAAGAAAATTCAGACTGAGAGAAGTTAATATATTGCCTGATTTTACACAGCTAGAGGCTAAGCAAGAAGCTCCAGAGATTAAGCCTTTACTCATTGTATAATTCTGGTAGGTTACACACCAAACTGTTAACAGTGCTCTCACCTCAAGGGAGTTTGATTGAGACCGTAGGAAATACTCATATTTCACTTTAAATACTTTTGCTTTATCTCACTTTATTAATGACTATTACTTTTTGAATAAAAATGATATAAAAACCTCTTGATCTTTGGCAAGTGATCAAATCTACCTTAAACAGAACTCTGATCTTGGTTCCTGGACCATACAACTCATAGTTGACGTTCTGTCAGGAGCTTACTAGTTGGATGTAGAAAAGAGGGAACTGTATCCCTCCAAAAAGATACCTTCAAATCCTAATTCTGGATACCTGTGAATGTGACCTTATTTGGAAATAAGGTTTTTGCAGATATAATCAAGTTAAGATAAATAGTGAATCTTTGATTTTTCTTTTTGTTTCTTTTCTCTTTTCCTCTCCTTTTAAAAAGTGCTTAATCTTTTTTAATCTAAGAGATGCATCTAAGTTTTGTTAAGATAATGTATTCATAGTCCATTCAGTGGTATTTGGTACATTTATATATATACATATATATAATTAAAATATATAATATATAATTAAAACTCTCTCAAAACTACTTTTTTTTTGCTGTGTGCATTTTGTTAATTATAGTATAAAAAATTCAACAAGTTTTATAAAATTTTCTGCAGATTTAAAGCCCACCAGGTTAGTTTATAAATGTTAAACAGGAATCTTTTTGATGTCAGATGTGTTAACTGCTTAAAATGTGCATATTTTTGCATGGTAACTAGTTTTCACGGAGCTATGATAATAATATATTTTGGCTGCATTGAATATTACAGAATTCTTCATAAGAAATATTTAATATATCTATCCTGAGTTATTTTTTCAGGCATTGCGGTGGGCACACCATACGGTGACCCCCACTGAGTCACATCTTTGTAAGATTTCCCCCGCTTAAGTGTGATTTTCTCCTAATGAATGGAAGCAAAGGTGATGCAGTGTTACTCCTATGATTATGTCATATTATATAACAGTTAGCAGACTGGAGTGAGAGGTTCCTCTGCTGGCTCTGAAGAAGCAAGCCCTGTGCTGAGGATGCTCACGTGGCAAGGAGCTGCCATCAGTCTTTAGGACCAGGGGTGTCCTCCGGCCACCAGCCAGCAAAAAGTGGCATCCCTTGCACAGCTCTGAGGAAATGAACTCTGTAACAACCTGAATGAGGCCAGAAGCAGATTCTTCCCCAGAGCTTCCAGATGAGAACACAGCCGGCTGACACACGGACTGCAGCCCTGAGAGGCCCTGAGCAGAGAACCCAGTTAAACCGAGCCTCGATTTCTGACCTATACTAACTGTGTGAGATAGTAAATGTGTCGTGTTTCTGGCTGCTGATTTGCGGTAAATTTGCTACACATACACTGAAAACTGATGCAGGTATACTTAAAATATTTTATTATGGAAAAGTTCAAATATATACAGAAACAGAGTGAATTATTCAGTGTGCCCATCACCTAGTTTCAGCATGACCAGTCTTATTTCACCTATACAACTATCGATTACCACTTCCCCAAATGTATTATTTTAAAGCAAATCCCAGACAGTCTATTATTTTAATCTGTAAATGCTTCATTTTGTATCTCTAGAAGATACAGCCTTATTTTTCTTAAAAACAAAATCATGACATCTAAAAATATTCCTTAGTATCATCAAATATTTGGTTTGTCCCTTGTACACTGTTGGTGGGAATATAAACTGGTGCAACTACTGTGGAAAACAGTGTGGAGGTTTCTCAACAAACTAAAAATAGAACTACCATAAGACCCAGCAATTCCATTCCTGGGTATATATTTGAACAAAAATAAAAGTACTAATTTGAAAAGATATATGCATCCCGATGTTCATAGCAGCATTATTTACAACAGCCCAGATACAGAAGCACCCAAAGTGTCCATCAACAGGCCAATAGATTAAGAAGATGTGAGATACACACACACACACACACACACACACACACACACACACTGGAATACCACTCAGCCATAAAAAAGAATGAAATATTGCCATTTGCAGCAACATAGATGGACTTGGAGGGCATTATGCTAACTGAAATAAGTCAGACAGAGAGAGACAAATCCTGTACATCACTTACATGTAGAATCTAAAAAATACAACAAACTAGTGAATATATCAAAAAAGAAGCAGACTCACAGATATGGAGAACAAACTAGTGGTTACCAATGGGGAGATGAAATGGGGAAGGGGTAAGACAGGGGTAGGGTAGTAAGAGGTAGACACTATTAGGTATAAAATAAGCTACAAGGATATACTGTACCACACAGGGAATATAGCCAATATTTCATAGTAACTATAAATGGAGTATAATCTTTAAAAATTGTGAATCATTATATTGTATACCTGTAACTTAAATAATATTATACAGTAACTATATCTCAATAAAAGAAAAAAATTTAAAAAATTTATTATGTTAAAACATACATATCATAAAATGTGTAATTTTAACTATTTTCAACTGCTTAGCTCAGTGGCATTAAGGATATTCACCTTGCTGTGCAGCTATCACTACCATCCATCTCCAGAACTTTTTTATTTTCCCAAACTGAAACTCTGTACCCATTAAACAAGAACTCCTCCTCCTCCCTTCCACTCAGTCTCCGGCAACCGCCATTCTACTTTGTCTCTATTAATCTGATTACTCTATGTACCTCAAATAAGTGGCATCACACAGTATTTGTCCTCTCGGACTGTCTTATTTCACTTATTAGGGACTACTTAAAATATTTACTTTAATAGGACTTTATAATTGTGTAAAATAGTTACAACAGTTCCAAGTCAACATTCATTCAGAAAGGTCTAGTTTCTATTCCTGTCCCCATCTCTACACAGGCAACCATTGAAATGCTTTTGGTTTATCCTTCCCATGTCCTCCTGTCCCACCCTTTTTACTATAAGCAAAAATACATTTGTGTTTATTCCCTCTTTCTTAAATGGCTGCATACAAGATGATAAGTAAATAATAGAATGCTATACATATTTTCTCTATCTTGCTTTACTCACTTATCAATGTATCTTGGATATCATTCCTTGTCATTATATAGAGATAGAAGTTCTTACTTCTCATTCACCTTAACAGCTCTTAACTCATAATTCCTGATTAGTTAGATGTAACACTAACAATGTTTAGGAATACAATTGGAGGTTACATACCATATACTTTCCTAATACTTGTTGAAAATCTGCAGCGACTGCATTTGAAGGAGAAAAATGTTCTCGTGCCATCAAAGGATTTCTCAGAAAAGTCTCACTAACCTGAGAAAATTAATGGAAATATTTAAACTATACAGATAATTTCAACTGGAGAACTACAGAGCAAGCATTATTTGAAGCAAAGTCTGGCAGAAACTGGCAAGAAAAGAAACCAGAACATTTCTGGATTTTTGGTGCCTGGGTGTCCTTTCTATTTAAAGATACAGTATTAATGAAAACTGTGCTTTCCCAGTCTTCTCCACCACAGAAGTACAGACCACAGCCTCATATCGTGAGATTGCAGGTGCTGCCTTGACTGTTTGGTATTGGCGTTTCTGGGGAGGTGAGGGGACTTGCAGATGTTTCCTTCTGGCAGAGAAGGAAAGATGGGATTCCACGATATCTTCTAAATAAATCCTTTCCATTTTCCCTTCCTGCCCCTACCCTCAAAATCCATTCAACAATAACAAAACAATCGCAACTAAATGTCATGATACTATTTTTCAAAACCTATAGGGTTGTTATATGACATTTCAAAACTTCAAGAAGGAATTTTGACAATTCTGACAATTCGGAAGTAGTAGTAGCCATCATGTGGTTAGAAGTTTTGTGTCATATAGTTTTGAAAAGTTGGTAAAGTTGAGATGTTCTTCCATAATGGCAGAGAAGGAAAAAAAATTAGAGTGGAGTCAGTTAAACGGCTAACAACGTTTAGCAGGTAGATGCTAATGACTGTCTCGGCATAACTGTAGAGTAAACTACAGTATTAGGTCTTGTAATCTTTGATTCTATATATCGTTACAGTTTGAGTTGTGTTAAAACAAGTTGTTATGCTAAACAAATAAAATGTATGCATTATTCATGACTGTGACTGGAGAATAACTATTAGTAACTATAGTATAGCTGACTGATTTTTCCATGAATATTTTTTGTTAAGGTATTTATCCTAAATTATATATTTGTGAATAAAATTGAAGATTAGTATTATTTACTTTTTAAAATAAGATACAAACATACTATCTGGACCATAAAGTTATCAGAATAATGGTTTAGTCGTGGTCTGTCTCTGAGACTGCCTTTCACAGTCTTATTCTAGTCGGAGATTAAATGCTGGGTGATAGCAACAGATGATATCTATCGAGAAGGTTAATTACCCTTTGAGAAACTTATAAAATCTCATTTATCCACATAAGTACATACATATAAGTATTCTATTTAGCATATTTTATATTTGCCAGGAGTTTTCAGGTAAGATGTTTCCTGAAGATAGTATGTCTTGAGTAAAACAGTTTTTTCATTTAACTCATACAATTGATTCATATTTTCTACCAGAAATGTCTTACAATAATTATTTGAAAATTAAATACATATGCTATTGAAAAGGTATATTAAATATTAGTAAAGCTAAGTTTTCTTATTTTTAAAGAACAAAATAAATACACAGATTCTAGTAGATCTGGGTGGATTGT